TCTTGTAGACAACATATTGAAGACAACATATTGAAGGATTGTGACTGTTGCTGTCTTTTGACTCATGCATTTAATACATTGACATTCGGTGTAATTATCTATAGATATGTTGATTGCTGTGTGTTTTTTTGGTGGTGCTGCTTGTTTCTTTGTTCTACATATTTTTCTGCACAAACTTTATTGTACATTTTGTCAGTTGCTTCATTTCTGATGTTTTAATGTTTAGTAAATCTTCATGGGTTTCCCTTTTCTTGATTTGATGTAAAGGTTATATAAATTTTCTTTGAGGTTACCGTATAATTTATTTAAGGAGCTCTGGTAGTGTAGTGGTTACGAATCGGATGTGAACCACAAGGTCAGCAGTTCGAAACTACCAGCTGTTCTGTGGGAGAAAAATGAGGCTTTCTGCTCCCGTAAAGATTTACAGCCTCAGAAACCCTGTACAGTGTTGCTATGAGTCAGAATCGAACAACAACAATAATTTATTTAAAATTTCCCCATTTTAAAACAATCTGTTTTATCTTGAAATCTACGTGACTTTCTTTCCATTTAAAGTTCTATACCTAGAACTTTTAGGTCTATATGCTTCTGAACGTAGTATTCCCATCTTTCTAACCCTTCCCTGAAGAATTCTGTCTGTACTCTTCAATTTAACAAGAGGAGGGTTTCTGCTCATACAAAGATTTACAGCTTCTGCAGCCTCTGTACAGTGTTGCAGTGAGTTGGAACTGACTACAGCAACAACATCAGGGACTCAGATTGTGTTCATTTTCAAAGTGTTTTCTGAGTTTTATGAACAAAAAGAAATTTGAAGGGGCAAGATTAGGGCTGTAGGATAAATGAGGTAAGGTTTTCCAGTGAAATTCCAAGGGTAGCCCTTGCCTATCCTGAGATGGACAGTAAATAAGGAAAATCATAGAAGAATTGACCAATTTGAGTTATGGTGTTGGGGAAGAATATTGAAAGTGCCATGGGCTGCCGAAAGAACCAACAGATCTGTGTTGGAAGAAGTGCAGCCAGAGTGCTCCTTGGAGGCCAGGATGGCCAAACTTCGTCTCTCATACTTCAGACCTATTGTCAGGAGGGACCAGTTGCTGGAGAAGGATATCATGTTTGGTAGGGTGGAGGTTCAGACAAAAAGAGGAAGACCCCCAACGAGATGGATTGGCAGAGTGGCAGCATCGATAGACTCAAGCATGGCAACAATAGTGAGTTTGGCCCAGGGTTGGGCAGTGTTTCGTTCTGCTGTGTATAGAGTTGCTATGAGTCGGTACCAACTCAATGGCACCTAACAACAACAACAATCCTGTCATGGTGGAAAAAATTTTCTTGCCGTAACTTTACTGGCCTAAATTTCACAAGTGCATTTTTCAATTTTCTTTAAATTTCTTCCTAATAAGCCCCCATGGTTGTCCTATGTCCTTTGAGAAAATCTGTCAAGATGAGTTCTTTAGAATCCAAAAATGCAATTATCATAATCTGCTGAGCTGACAGCAGATCATTGCCTCTAAATCCTCTTTTTGATTGGACTTTTTTTTTTAAGGTACCCTAAAAAGACAGATATGGCACTGTAAGATAAGCACTGTACTGCTAGACACAAGGTCATCAGCTGCTCCTCAGAAACCCTATACACAGGGGTTACTATGAGTCAAAACTGACTTAAGAATACTTAACAACAAGACTAAGACAACTGTATTAGTAGTCTACAATCGTTCACTGATTGTAGAGACACATTTAAACATGTTTTGTTGGACTAAACTCAGGCAATATATTTTTTTTAACTTCGCATCCTAAGAAGAAAATAAAGGAGGAGCCAGTGGGTTGTAGATAAGTCATCTGATTTTCTGGCAGACTTCCCCTAGCAGATTATTTTGGGGAGGGAAAACAGTCATTTTCATTTATTGTCACATGTTGTCCTTTAACAAACACAACTTTTATCATTCTCACAGTTAATATTCTCTCCTTGTCATTAGGATAAAGAATAAGTTCCTTGGATAATAAAGGTTCTCTCCCTACCTTTATTTTTAAGCCTTCACTTTATATCTTTATAGTTCATATCATATGCTCGGTATTTTATGCTCTCAAAATGCAATTTTCAGTCACCTTTGTGATTGAATTCTCTTACTTCAGTGTTTCATTGTCATTATCTAGTATAGTAGCTTTCATAAAAGTCCTACTATTGTTAGGTGACATTACTCATAGTAATCCAAACACTGCCCAGTCCTGCTTCATCCTCACAATTATTGTTATGTTTGACAAATATTAGTTGAATACATTTTTATCTTCCTGAGATGTCACCATTCCCAATTCCAGCAGAGTTTTTTCCTCTTTTGTATGATAACTATATTTATATAACTTGCTGACTATAATAGAACATTTGGCTTTCTGTGGTAAAATAGGTTGTTGGGAATCACATTTTATGGATACATTTGTTCCATTGACGGGAAAGAAGCTAGAGACTTTCCAATTGTAGGTTTGCTGATCTTACTGTAGAAAGCTCCTTAATGATCAATAATTGAATGTATTTCGTAAATGGAAACGAAAAACATTAAAATATTTGATTGATGTCATATATTTAATAGCATTAATTTTAACACAGATACCTATTCAGCTTCAGCAAGTGATTTTTGTTGTTGTTGTTACATGCCTTCGAGTCGGTTCTGACCCATAGCGACCCCGTACAGGGTTTCCGAGGCTGTAAATCTTTCTGGGAGCAGAAAGCCTCATCTTTCTCCCGTGGAGTGGCTGGTAGTTTCGAACTGCTGACTTTAAGGTTTGCAGCCCAGTTAATAACCACTACGCTACCAGAGCTCAGTGATTAGTTGCTACAAATGCTTTTCAACTTGGGTATTTGTGTTAGTTGTATCTTTGGGACCATGATAGGTTGCTAAAGGTAGAAGTTTACCAACTCACTTTTGAAATTTTTTTCTTCACATTTGTTTGACAATTTTCAAGCTGTAGTACATTTACAAGGCCAGTACAGTGAACACCCAAGCACCCAAACAGATTTCACCAATTATTTACATTTTACCACAGTTAGATGGCAAAATGAATTTATAATTAATCTTAGATTAAGTATAGCAAGGTTTTGCCATTGTGATACTGACACAAAGCCACTACAACTGTAGTACTATTTGCTAAACCCATAGTCTCCTGTAGTTGATAGTAGCAGGTTTAGTTTTCATTAGACTCTATTTATCCTTCATTTATGGAATACCTGATATCTTCACATTCCTAAATTAATTGAAAGAAAGGTTGAATCTTTGGTAACTATATTTTTCTTTGTGAGAGAAATGAATATCACAGTTGTTTGTACTCCTGGTGCAGATATGTGATGATCATGTTTCTTTTACGAATTAGAAAGATGAGAAACACCTTATATGAAGCAGTGTTCATTGCAGCACTGTTCACAATAGCCAAAAGCTAAAAGTGACTTATATGTTCATCAACAGATGAATGGATAAACAAAATTCTGCTGTGTACATCCACTGGAATATTACTGAGCCATGTGGAGTCTGTGTGTGGTGCTGTAGGATAAGCACTGGACTGCTAACCACAATGTCAGCAGTTCAAACCCACCAATGATCCTTGGAAACCCTATAATAGGCCCCTATGAGTTGGAACCTACTCAACAGCTCTTAATAACAGTAACATAAAGAGAAATGAAGTCTTGTTGCATGCTACATTATGAGTCTTAAGAATATTATACTGAGTGAATTGTCAGGCACAAAAAGGCTTATATGAAATAGGCATATGTGGTGCTGTAGGTTAATGCACTGGATTGCAAAGTCAGTTTGAACCGTAAGGTCGGCGGGTCAAGCTTACTATACAGGGTTGCTATGGATCAGAACCGACTCAACAGCAGTTAACAACAATGTAGTAAAGTTTATTATTGGTTACCTGGGGTGGGTGGGAATGGGAAATGAGAACTCCCTGCTTAGGGCTCACTGTATTCCACGGGAATAATGTGGAAATGGATAGTAGTGATAGTTTCACAGCACAATAAATGTAATCAATGTCATTGAATTGTATATTGAATTGTGAAAGATACTGACTTTGTCAAATCTTTTGTTATATAAATTTTTACCACAATAAAAAATAAAAATAGGACAACTTAGTCTCAACTGGCTTTACCTGGGGATCACATTTGTGACATTAGATGCTTAATTGTTGTTGTTGTTAAAATACTGTCAAGTTGGTTCCAATCTATAGCGACCCTGTGTAAGATTTCTGAGGCGCGGCTGATGGGTTTGAGCCTCCAACCTTGTGGTTCATACTGACTTTGTAGTCCAGTGCATTGTCCTGAAGTGCCATAATTCAATGGCTGTATCTTATAGGGAAATCTTTTTTAAATAAAACAATTTTTATTAGAAATAGTTTTAACAGTGTATTAGGAAAGGCTGTCTTAACATTGATTTCTATCACCTGTCTTTTATAGGGAGCTAAGAGTAGGAACCGACTACAGGGTACTTAACAACAACAACAATGCACAGATGAAGCCGTGGTGGCCTAGTGGGTTCAGTGTTGAGCTGCTAACCACAGGTCAGCAGTTCAAACCCATCAGCTGCTCCACAGGAAACAGATAAGGTTTCATGATCCTGTAAGGTTGCTAGGAGTCGGATTTGACTCCACAGCAGTGGGTTTGGTTTGCACAGAAATGTAAGCTCCACGAGCAGAGGAGTTTTGTCTGTTTTGTTCATTACTGTGTCCCCACTACCTAAATAAGGCACTTAACAACAACATCTTATAATAGGCAAATAGGTTATTGGGTAAATAGATACCAGGGTAGTAGGACCCAAGTATTTTGAGTAGAAGGTTCCTTACAGCTTCTTCAGAAGTTGAAGATTCTGTAAACTTAATCACGTTTTAAATGCATTCTCCTTAACCCAGCTTCACAACTCAGGTGGTTTTTACTGCATATGTAAAGTAAAATTAAAAATATAAGAGCATTAAACATAGAATTTCCTAATAAAGGTGCCCTGTATTTTGTTCAATTATAGGAAGCAGTTTGGTTCCTTTCCAACATAACAGCAGGCAACCAGCAACAGGTTCAAGCTGTAATCGATGCTGGATTAATCCCTATGATTATTCATCAGCTTGCTAAGGTCAGTCATGTTGACTTCATTGTGCTTAGTAATGTATTATAACCAAGACTTTAGGGATAAAAATACTATTTTATGATTTCTCTCCACCTCCAGGGGGACTTTGGAACACAGAAAGAAGCTGCTTGGGCAATTAGCAACTTAACAATAAGTGGCAGAAAAGATCAGGTGTGTTTTAAAAACTTTATGAATGGAAACTGTTAATATTGGAAAGTATACTACTTTTATATGGTTAAGAGCTGCTGATTGTTTCTAAGTCCATTACTTTTTGGGGAAATGATAATTCTATAAATAAAAACATTTCTTCTCTTTTGTTGTCTAGGTTGAGTACCTTGTACAACAGAATGTAATACCACCATTCTGTAACTTACTCTCTGTGAAAGATTCTCAAGTTGTTCAGGTGGTTCTAGATGGTCTGAAAAACATTCTGATAATGGCTGGTGATGAAGCAAGCACAATAGCTGAAATAATAGAAGAATGTGGGGGTAAGTGTACTAGACTCTGAAGTTTTCATTTCTTTAAAGACAGGTTACAGAAATATAGACTGTTAGGTTATCCAATTGTGTTGCTGTTCTTTATTCTCTATTTTAGTATTCCAAACAGGTTTTCCAGAAAATACCTGCCTATAGTTTGCAAAAACTGACTTCGAATGTCACTCCATAATCCTCCTAGAGATGCATGGTGATTTTTATAAAACACTAATATATGTGTGGATGTCACAGTGCTTGAGAGCTAATTAAAATCTCTGAGAACCTCTATGGCAGAGAAACCTGTAAGCTTCTATATTGTTGGGGGAAAAGCCTGATGATTTCTGAATTTAGATATTTTGTTTTATCCTATGACTAAAAATTATTTTTATGATTTGGTACAACTACATGCTTAAGTTATTTTTGAAATTTTAACATGAGAATGAACTATGATTTGAAATACTACATCATGGTTTCTCTGGCAAAGAGATAGGCAGCATGCATTTTAAAATTCTATTTTTAAGAGTCCTTGGCATAATAGGATGCTAATGTGTTGGTCTACTAACAGCAAAGGGCAGCAGTTTGAATTCACCAGTCGCTGTCCTGGAGAAATATGAGGCTTTCTGCTCCCATAAAGATTTACAGCCTTGGAAACCCTGTATAGGGTTCAAACAAAAGAATTCTGACTTGATGGCCATGGGTTTGGAGCTTTTTGTTTGTTTGTTTATTCAGTATATACTAAGTTATCCAAACCTTAGATCAACTTACAATGTCATAGTGTACTTTTTACATTTTGTTGATGGTTTGGATAGTCATGCTACTAATTTGTTTTGATGTTGCTGTTTTAAGTTTGTTTTTGTTTTTTTTTTAAAGAAAACAAATGTTGTAGCATCATAGAATGTTCAAACCAAAAAGATTTTCTTAATAACACGAAGAAATTATCCTGGATATATTAAGGAGTATTATGAAAGGTCAAATAAATTGTTAGTGATAAAATCAAAGTTAAAACCCAGATCTTCCTAGTGCTGATCCAGTGTTCATTTTGGTTTTAAGACATGTCTTACTTTCTAACATAATTTAAAATTAGTATTGTAATCAGATTCACAACAACCCAGAAAATTTGAGTAACAGTCAGAATTGATACTCTTTGGCTTTTTATTAATGTGAAGGTAAATCAGAATTAATTGCTAATCAGGAATAATACCAGCTTTTTAACAAAAATCAGGTGAGCATCTTCCCAAATCACTGAAGCTTTGCACTAAGTTTACAGGAATGCTTCCTCACATAAAGCAACAGTTTTTAGATGGCTCAAGCATTTTAAGTAAGGTCAGGAAGACCTCAAAAATGAGCCAAGAAAAGAAAGACCATCAACCTTGATAACGTGGTTAAAGTCTAGAAGACCATAGAATTGCCATTGTTATATTGACTATTGAAATGTGGCTCTCACATGGTTTGGCATTTTCCATTTTACACAAACATCTTGGTCTCAGTAAGGTTTTGACTCAATCATTAGGTGCCAAAAGCATTGCATGAAGATCAGCTAGCTCAAAGAGTTGGCCTTTCCATCAGTCTTTTAAGCAAGATTGAATTTAATTTAATGAAGATGGCTTTTATGGAACAAATCGTAACTGGGGATGAGTCTTGGATTTACCAGAATGGTCCAATCAAAATAGTGGCTTCTGAAGGGATTTCCTGGGCCCGTTAAATTCAAGGCAGAGAGGTCAACCCAAAAGGTTATGGCAAGGTTATAGGATCCCAAAGGGGTAATCTTTTATTATTTTTTAAAACTGTTTTATTGTGAATTATGTAATAGTTTACATGGGAGAACATTAGTTTTACATTCATCCTATCGTATATTGTTTCATTACCAAGGTTACAGTCCCCTCCATGCATCATCAACCAACCAAAGGGTATATACCCTGCAAGCTTGACCCCCAGTTGTCAGCACACAGCCCCTCTTTCTCTCTATAGAGTCCCCAGCTGCTCCATATCTCCACATCATCATCTCTGCCTCCATCTCTGGTGTCTGTGTTTCTCTTGGTAGGGTCCCGCACTCTGCTTTTCTCCCTTGATGGTCCCAGGGACCTCTACTCCTGGACTGAAAAGTCAATCACTCCCCTCATTTTGCTACAAAACTTCTACCTTTACATTTCCAACCCTCACAGTCAGTCAGTCAGTCCTGATAATAATTATTCACTGTTGTACCACAAGAGACCTATCTGCATCGCCTTTCATCAGCCCCACCTAGAAAGATTGGATACTACTCAGTGAAGATTTTACCTACCTCCACGCCCTCTGGATCGAGGTTCCCTCTTGAAAGTTTGTAAGCCAGTCACTTCTTGCCTTTGTAGCCCACACATTTTGGGTAGCCAATGTCCAAGTTGCCATCCTTGTCTATTCTGTGCATGGAGTGGGTGAGAATGATCCTCACTGTAAAGATTTGTTCCCTCTTTTGAGCTACTGCATCCATAGGTGTAGGTCAGGTTCATCAGATTGTATCAGATTACTCTTTTTCTGCTCTTCTTTCTTCTTCTAGTTGAGTTCTGATCATCCAGTCACTAAAGCCAGGTCAAGTGGGTATTACCTGCAAATGTGGATGTTCTTATGCATATGCCCTCTCTCCTTATCAGCTGGACACTTCACTCTCCATTCTAATGCTCTGTGCTATGTCACTGACTCTGGGCCCAAGAGTCCCCAGGTCTTGCCACACTGCTGGCCAACCAGGTCTACACCCGGGTTCCCGGGAATCTATTGAACATTGTAGGGTTTAGCTCGCAGCTTCATAACTGTTTTTCCCTCACTTTCCCTTATCGGTGACGAACGTGGTCACCAATCAGAGCGTGTATTCCTATTGAGTCTTAGTCTTGGAAGGGGGTTTTCCCTGAAGGGGACCTGACCGCTTGCCTTGATGTCTCCTGGGTGAGCAACTTATTTGTTTTTGTAGTAATCAGTCGGACTGCCGTTACTGTTTTGTATTTTTCCAGTAGGTTTTTCTTTCAAGAAGTATCTTCTGTTCTTCTAGCTGCTCCAGGCTGGTCTGCTTGTCCTTTCAAGTAGAAATTTCCCACCTCAGAAGATTCTGGATGTGGTTCCGGATTCTACCTATAGTCTTTATGTAATGCAGAGGCTTCACAGGAAGCCTCCTTCACTGGACACATTGTAACCCCATTTTAGGTATTCCAATCAGTTACAGGCAGAAGACGGACTTACAAGCTTTATATGGTGATGTTTCTGGCTATTCCTTTCTCTCCCCCTCAAGTGTCTATTTTTTAATGGTATGCAAGGGACACTAAGATTCAAAAGACAACCAAGCATCGTAACATTATTTCCCCCCAAAGGGGTAATCTTGATAGATTTTGTCAAAGGACACAGGACAACCCATGAGGCTTTATGAAGAAGTTTTAAGAAAATTGAAAACTGCATTGTGTGAGGCTCAGAAAGTTGCATCGAGGAATTTTTACTTCCATTATAACAGTACCACCTGCTCATTCTTCAAGAACAGAAAGGCCTATCCTATAAGAATTTTGTGGGGAGCTTTACTCCATCCATCCTACAGCCCAGATTTTGATTCTCCAGACATCTTTTTGTTCCTCAAAGTCAAAGAATGTTGAAAAGGAACACAATTTGAGTCCTTGGAGGATGCCAAAACTGCTGTTTTGACATAGTATAAATTGAAGAGCTCTGATTTCTTTGGGGAAGTGATGGAAGCACCTCCTTCAGGAATAGACATAGATGGAGGAGGGACTCCCAGTTTAGCACTGTAGGATCAGCCCTGGACTTCAAACCACAAGGTCAGCAGTTCAAATCCACCAACTGCTCTTCAGAAGTCCTATATTGGGTCACTATGAGTTGCAACCAACTTGACAGCACTTAGCAACAACACAGTTGGAGGACATATTGAAAAAAAAAAAAATTCTCACATTTTGGTGTGGGTAAGTGCCATCAAATCTGTTTCAACTCATAGTGACACTATAGGGTTTCTTGAAGTGGCTTGTGGGTTTGAACCGCTGACCTTGTGGTTAGCAGTTCAGTGCTTACCTTTTGTTTAGTAAACGTTTCTTTGATTTTATAGCAATACTTTTTGACTTACCCTTGTATAGTTATTTCTGTCTATGGGAATAATAGTAAAAATACACATACACTTGATATTTTATAATTTTATAAACATTTTGCATCTGTCATCTTTTATACTTTTTCCCCCACTTTTCTGGTTTTAGATAACTATTAAATAAAGGGAAAAATGTTACTATTTCAAAATAATCTAGCCAAAAGAACATTTCAACAATAATATTTATTATTACGTTTAAGAAGCAGATTGACAGATTTGTATATCTAATGCCTGGAATTACATATTGGAAGTATAAATGGAGTCATTCTATGATTACTGTTCTGAAAACTGCTTTCCAGTTTCATTGTGGCTATAGGACATAAGTGCTATAATTAATTTTTCTTTTTTTTTTTTTTTAAGAAATAGTTCCAAAATCCAAAACTGCAGTAGTGTCAATTAACCATTATGTTTCTTAAGACAAATTTTTGTAGTTACGTAAAAGCCAACGACATTTAGAAAACCAACAAAAAGATAGAAATTGCTCTATGAAGCAGTATGGTTTTATAAAAATAGTCTAGAAAGGTCTCAGTTCTAGTTCTGTCACTAGCTTGCCATGTAACTTGAGATTAAATCCTTTTTGCCCTGTGCCTGATTTCCTCATCAGCCAAATTGAGCATCTTGGTATTTTTCAGATTATCTCAGGGACCAGGGTACCTTTAAGATTTTTAAGGAAAGCAAAAGTAGTGGGACACTGGTTCTCCAGCCAGAGTAGCTTAGGTTTTTAGTGTGTTTTTTAGACAAACTATCATTTTTTGGTGGGTAAGTAGGGGGAAGTTGCTCCAAATTCCTTAGAATTCTCCAAAAATAAGTTTTCATTAGGATCTGCTTAGCTATCTTGATTATTTTGTTTTATCAGGTCTGGAAAAAATTGAAGTTTTACAGCAACATGAAAATGAAGACATTTATAAATTAGCATTTGAAATCATAGATCAGTATTTCTCTGGTGATGATGTAAGTATATATTAATATCTAATGTGTCTATATGTAAATTGAAGTCCTGGTGTGACATTGTTGGATAAGCACTGGACTGCTAACCACAAGGTTGGTGGTTCAAATCCACCAACTGCTCCTTGGAAACTCTTATACAAGGTCCCTATGAGTTGCAACTGACTAGAGAGCACTTTCAACAGCAACAACAGCATGTAAATTAAAATGTTTACATAATGTAAATTTACCAGGAGTTTTCATTTTATCACAAGTATGAGTAATGTTTACACTCTGATTCTCTTGAGGTAGAATTTTTCTAGTTATTTTAAAAATCTAAACAAAAAATTGTTCTCTAGCAATCATACTGTCAGAAGGGACCAGTCCCTAGAGAAGGATAGCATGTTTGGTAAAATGGAGGGTCAGAGAAAAAGAGAGGGGCTCCTTCTCGATGGACTGGCACAGTGGCAGCAGCGATGGGCTCAAATTAGCAACGATTATGAGTTTGGTGCAGGTCCGACCAGACAGTGTTTCGTTCTGTTGTGCATAGGGTTACTGTGAGTCGGTACTGACTTGATGGCACCTAACAACTACATTCAATCAATCATCTTAATTGCTGTGTGAAATATAGCAGTTAAATCATCTAAAACTGAAAACAATTGGCATTTGTAATCTACTAACTGGGAAGAAATATCTGGAAATGATAAATGTTCATTTAAGTTCAATAAGTCTACAGCTACAAAAGCTTAAGAAAAGGGCATTTGGGGAATGTTAAACTTTTAAGTTGCTTAATAAAATTGTTACTTACAAATTTCCTTATACCTGCTTATGTGATTAAAGCATTCATACAGAATTCGTTACTAAAATGTGAAAATCTAATTCTGCTTACATCAGAACATATAGTGTCCTAACATAGTAGTTTCCTCTTGCTTTCTACAGATTGATGAAGACCCTAGCCTCATTCCTGAAGCAACACAAGGAGGTACTTACAATTTTGACCCAACAGCCAACTTTCAAACAAAAGAATTTAATTTTTAAATTCAAAGGAGTACAACGTCTTTCCCACATTTAATATGAAGCACCACCAAATGGCTACCAAATGACAAGAACAACAACAAAGGCTCCAAAACACACATGCCTCTTCGTTTTGATGCTTCTAAAGCAAGCCATGGCTCAGTCACTTGGCAGTTGCCGAAAGTCACTCTCACATGGACTGTAAATGCATATGCATGATTTCCTAAACGTTTTTAGAGTTCTCCTTAACAATCTCAATTACCCTGTTTTTCCCTGTTCCCTGGTGCCACACGCTGACAACTACAGTCTACAGTTAAGAATAATCCATAGTAGTGGCATGTCAGCTACCCACTGATACTCCTTTGGAAAATGGTGCGCTGTGGATCAAGATACTTTGATTTGATGCATATATACGCTGTAAGACTTTAAAGAGGTGCAGTGTGATCTGAGCCTCCGTCGTTGTCCTCCACAAACATATTTTCATATTCTTTACATGGATGAATAGATTTTAAAGTACAAGCCAAATGATTTTCATTGGTGGAACTGACACACAAAATAAGTAACTTTAAAGAAAAAAAGAAACTTGGTTATTGATTAAACAGATAAGTTTTTAAAAAAACAACTGTACTTCATCTACCAGTAATTGATGTGTTTATTATCTGCCTCAGAAGCCAGGGTTGAAGGAAGAACTTCAAATGTGGATGGTAATGCTTTCACCATTATACCTAATTTTTGAGAACAGCAAGCCCTATTTGACCACTCACTTCAGCCTGTGTGTTCCTGCTGTTTTGAAGTAATCAAATGCTGTGCATGGTATTTTACCTAAGCTGCAACCTGTTACGGACTTGAACTTCTGTTTAAGGTGAAAGCAAGAGTCCCTAAATATCAAAGGAGAAAAAAAGGTCTAAAATACCCATTGGTGATGTTAAAAAAAAAATCTTGCTTTCAGCTTTCAGGAGTAAAACTTTTGTTTTAAATTGATAATTGGGTATGGTTGATTTATGTTGGGTTTAAAACTGTGGAGCTTTCATGTTTACTGTAATTTAGTCTTAAACTATTTTTTACTTAGTAACAAATGCTTTTGATAATGTGATTGGCAACAAACCAGCAAGAGGTGTCAAGAAAACTTCAGTTTTTTGAGTATTGAAAATGTTTATTCAGATCCTACTCTAAAAAGCGTATTCACGTATTAAATCATTCAGGCAAGGATCTGCATGGAGGAATAGTCTGCAGTTTTTTTTAACATAAACTTGATTTGCAGTGATCTTTAAATAATTCTGCAATATCTGGTATTACTGTGTAAAGCCACTGCTTTTGGAAAAACTGTCTAGCCCAGTTAATTAGTGAAAGAATATGGATTTGAAAATTGTACAACAAAATAATTTGTGCTATCACAAAAATGCTTTTGTTGCTATTGTTTACTGGGTATAATTTCCCGTTGCATTGAAGTAAAGGGATAGAAAATCTAAAATAATTTAGTTATCTGATGGGGGTGTACTTACTGTGATGAAGATGAGATAGATGCCACCAGAGCTTTGTGACTCAGCTGGGGTTTGTTCACTGATAGAGAACACATAGCAGGGGTGTGTTCATTAGAACTATATGTATCTGCCAAGGTGGAGCCACTTTAAAGAGTGAGTTTTGTCTTGTATCTAAAGAAGATACAAGCGTATGTTTAAACTGCAAGATTTTTACTTGCTAGAGAATCTGTTTTCATATAGTGGTTTGGCCTCTGATTATTTATAGGTTTTATAAAATTTAGAATCAATTTCTCTTTAAGGTGGCTCAGATTTTCAACTCTTGTGCACATAAAATTGAGTTGAAGTTCATTGTGCCTTTTTTTTCTTTACCCAAATTTTTTAGTTAAAACTTCATATGGTAACTGCATCCTATTCAGACACTATAGTCTAAATTTTTGAAATTGTGTGGCGTTCACTAAAAGTAGGAATAACAAAGTTAAAGCTAATTAAGGTCACAAACGTCGGTTAAACTCATAAAGTACAAATTTTGATATTGTGAATTGTACCCCTTCCAGTTGGTTCTTTTGGACTCTCCATGTTTACTGACAGTTACCTTTTAAATTTTGCACACATTGAGATTAAAATCAGGCCTCTACTCCGATGATTCATATTTCTTCTTGTGTTCTAAGTGCAAACTATTAAATGAACGTTAGCATCAAGTGGTACAGGCCTACGTATGCACTTCCTTGATTCAATTTGTTGTGACCTTACTGAGTTTTGAATTGGAATTGTACCATTTCGTAGATAAAGGAAACTAAGTATATTGCTGCACTTTTAAGTTTTAAGTTCACAAAACAGTGTTTAAAAGTTGCTTTTTTTTTTTTTTTTTTAAACTCAGTTACAAAAAACTAAAACGTTCTTTCAAAAGAGGCATCTAAATGTGTTCCTAATTTTGTATATGGGCTTAGGTTTTGTAACCAATAAAAAAAAAGCTGCTATTGAATATGTTAAAACATTGAAAAAATTATTTCTTAAAAAATAGCTAAATGGCTTAGTTTTGTTTCTGTATTACATTTGGAATTATTTTTCACATATCACCTGCAATGGAGGTGAATCATGACTCCCCTTTCATTGTGTATTGTCTCTTTCCCATAATAACACCACCAGGATGACCAATAACGATACTAGCTTTAAGAGTATTTTGTAACAAATAATAAGTAGTGCAGGTTCTCAGACTTCAATACTATACCCTAGAAAAGGGCCATCTATTTGAGTTACAGTGTTGGAGGAGAATATTGAAAGTGCCATGGGCTGCCAAAAGAACCAATAGAAGTGCAGCCAGAATGCTCCTTGGAGGCCAAGATGGGCAAACTTCGTCTCTCATACTTCAAACATATTATCAGGAGGGACCAGTCGCTGGAGAAGGATATCATGTTTGGTAAGGTGGAGGATCAGAGAAAAAAAGGAAGACCCCCCAATGAGATGGATTGGCCAGATGGCAGCATCGATGGACTCAAGTTTGGCAACAGTAGTGAGGTTGGCCCAGGATCGGGCAGTTTCTTTCTGCTGTGCATAAGGACGCTATGAGTCAGTACCATCTCGATGGCACCTAACAACAACAACAATTTGAAAAGGTAGTGTGGTTATGATTTTAATGAAACATACAGAAATCAAATTAATTTTTAAGTCTTGCCTAACCTTGAAAACATAGGTATAAAAGATCATAACTGAAGTAACCTTGGAAGTTTTAGCTTATTAGATAGAGATTGTGGGTGAAAGTGAAATCTCTAATTGAAGCAGCAAACGAGGAACCAAACTTTTGCATATACAAGTGTTTTTACTTTTGTATAATGCTACTTCAAATTATTTTTTAAAGAAGTCAGTGTATAAGTAAATAAATGTGATAGTATTCCTATATAATCTTGCCATAATTTCCTTCAAAAATATCGTCCTTTTTAGGGAATTAATTATTGCAGAAGAGAATCCATCATTGTCAGTTGTCTTGAAGTCATTTTTATGAATTTCTCTAACCCAGTTAATCAGAGACGTTTTCATTAGATCTATTAGGGGCAAAGGAGTATAAATTCAGTACATTAAGCTATGAGTATGAAGGTGTATAACCCAAGGAGTGCTATGTATGATTCACCAAATGCATGTATCTTATCAGTCAGCTAAAAAACAGTGATAGGATGAGTCTTAGAAATACTATGTGTATGAAGAGAAAATGTTTGGAGATATAGATGCAGGAATGGAACTGTAGTCACATCCTTAGCATAGTTATTTGCCCATAAAATCCTTCAAACTAACGAGCCTTATTCAGGATTTCTTGAACCCTACAATACTGACATTGTAGGCTAGATAATTTTGGGAGAAGAGCTCTCCTGTGCCCACAGTAGCATCCCTTTATAGCTGAAAATGATAGCTGAAATGTCTATAAGAGGGAGCATCAAAAAGTTCATGGATAATAGAATTTTTCCATAAACGTTTTGAAGCCCCTCGTATATTGCCAAATGTCCTCTAGGGGTAAAATCTCCCTTTGTTGAATTCAACTGGCTTAAACTAATTCCTAAAGAAAACTCCACTTAGGTAAGGCTGTCTAAATCTGGACTTCCTATTGTCTGAAAAGAAAATGTCTTTTCTTCGTTTTCAGTTGTAGGAGAAATCAGAGCCAGAATCATTGCCTGAATCACCCATTTGTGGGAGCAGTTGGTAGTATTGACTCCCGTATATTGCAAATGATTTAGGTACAAATTGGAATATGGTAAGCTAGTTACCTTCGTATAATTATTCTGTAGTTACAGTATAGGGTTGGGGTTTATGTGTGAAATAACCCGTAATCTGCTCAACATTTCCCTGTGGCAGTGCTCTTCAGGCATTTTAGTGGACGTTCTTTAAGTTCTTGAGGAAGCTGGCAGCAGACCAGGAAATCATAGCATTGTTAGAAAGCCATTTCTTGAAGTGTTGTGAAAAATTGACTTCATCATCAGGAAATGTATGTCTAGATGAGAAGACAAACTTGTTTTCTTTTTAATTTATTTAACGGGTAGCCCATAAAGTTATAGTGAAAATCATAAAGTAGTATAAAATTAGTGTGAAATCAAACAGCAAAAGCTAGATAACCAGTTTAAAAATCGGGACTATCTGCCCATTTATGAATAGTGTAGGGCAGTAGTCTCAGAGCAGTGGGGTAGATGGCAGGAGCTGGGTCCTGATGTTTAATACCTCCCCGTTGCCATTGAATCTATTCCCACTCATCACAACCCTGTATAGGGTTTCTGAGGCTGTAAACCTTGACAGGAGCAGACAGTCCCATCTTTTTTCCTGAGGAGCAGCTGGGAGTTTTGAACTGCCGAACTTTCGGTAAACAGCCTCCAGTGCCACCAGGGCTTTAATACATTGAGTACAGATACAGAGAAGGGAAATAACAGTGAAATGATTCTCAGATATAGTAGGACTGAGACTTTGGAAAAGATACTCAAGTTCTTCAAGACTTGATGTATACCTTACCAAGTGGTTTGTGATTTAGGATTCTTTGGATTAAACACCGGACTCAAGACGTTCAGTAAACGTGTATTATAAATGATTAAACATAGTCCATGGTTGCATTATGTTACATAGGAAGTACTCCCTGCAGGAGAATCTTTTCTACAGCATCCCTCTTCCATAATCAAGTAGTATTTGAAGTTGCCTCAATATAAATAGGACCCATCTTCATAGGCAGCTAATTCACTTGATGAAAAGACAATTTTATGGTAATACAAACCTATATTTGACAGCAAAATACATATCCTGTATAACATTTTAAAGATAAAATCACACTTT